TCAGTAACATTGTGCACTTGTCATTCTCTGTCGAGCAGTTCGTTGAAAATGTTCCATTTCTCGTATTTAACTAAAAAAAAAAAAACTCCGAAATCTTCGACAAAGGACGCAATACTCGTCCTCTGCTTTAGAAATCAAAAATTCTATCATGTTTGCCACGTTGCGCGCGGCACCGCGCCATCGCGAGAGTAACCCGAGCATATTTCACAGAGAAAAGGAACCGATATTCGTCGTGTTACCGTGGCAGAATCGCGCGGGACTCGCAAGTGGCATTCGCTTGCGATGCATTCTTCACGCGCCCGGTTTCCGGGATTCGCGGCGGGATCGCGATCTTAAAATGCTAGGAGCGGGGGCGGCATCCGTCAACCTCGATCGTCGACGTCTGTTTCCGCGGAATTTCAGCTGTACTTCCGAGGTTTTTGACGTATGTACGTACATACATCCCGGACGTTTCCGCGTACTCGTGCCTTGAGACTCGACTTTTCCGTCTAGCCGCGTCTCTCCTTACTGGCGCGCTCGGCGAGAGAATGCTATTCCCGAGCGGCCCACCGAGTCGTTCAACGACTTCTTCCAACGACAGTTTTCTACTTCCTCGATAATCTTTCATGATATAGTCCGCCAAGTAGTTTACAGATCCTCGCTAGTCGACTGTATGGAATCTGCTTAAGTTCAAAACGGTGTTAAAGTAATTTAGCACATCACAACGCTTCTACAAAATATATTCCGCAAATACATTCGCGTCGCATTTCTGTTTTATTATTTTTTAAATAATTTTTTTAATTATTAAAGAGATAAACATTGTTTCTAACGTATTATTTTGAAAGAGTTTAAAAAATGTTATATGATATAATAATAGTACGAATCACACGCACATGTACGCGACTTTATGAATTTTATTTATGGTACCATAAGATTTCTTAATCCATGATGATAAAACATTCTTATATCACCGCCATAGCTTCGTAATCTTTTCGTAAACGTTTTGAAAGAACGTCGTCTTTTCTCCCGGAATGTCATACTTCGTCGCAGGACATTCGATGTATGTTTTGCTAACATCTTCCTAGATGACGTTCTATTGTACCCGAAGCTGCACGTTTCTGACTTCTCCATTTTGCCTTCCGCTTTTTGCTCCTTTTTCCAACCACCTCCACTCCACCTTTACTTTGCCCCAACCTCCCGTCTCAGTTGTTTGAACAACGAGGGGTGGATATTATTCCCGCGGGATCTTTCCAGTCGTCTTACGACTTCTTCCAAGGGTAGTCTCTTTTTCAAGACGGTGGACGGCACTGGCAGAATGCCTTTTGCGAAATCTTTCCGCGCGCTACGATATTTAATATTAAAAAAAATTATTCGCAAATTAAAAATTCTTTTTGCATTGAAATTGAAAATTTTTTAATTTAAATAGTAAATTTATATATCACATTTTTCTAACGGGCATATTTTAGTTATTATAATATTATTTATTATGCTGCAGTTGTCACGTAAATTAATAGAGAATTAATAAATAATTTGCTTTGCTACAATTTTGTGCAGTGGTTGTTTATAATACGTTTGATAAAGTAAATTTATCATCATAATCTATAAGTAATAACGTATAATTAATAAATATTCTATCCTGTTCTCGCTTATCTTTCTCTTTTATTCCTTTGCTAAATCTCGCAATTCTTTACTTTGATGCATTTTCCAGCCGAACGTACCGAGCGCGTTTTAAAGACGAAGCGAATATTATTTCAGAGCAGCGCCATTAACCATTATGAAAATTTTACTATGGGAGCTACTTCCCTTTTCGCGAAATATTACTTATTTCAAATTTCAGATAATGCACGGGAAGCGGAAGTAACTCTTTACAGCGAGATTTTACTTACTGCGATTGGCGATATGAAAATTTCGCGATGTTAAACAACGTTTCCTTCTGATTCCGTTACTCGAGTTAGAATGCGCAATGATAGTGATGCTTGATATTAGCATTAGACAAATTGAAAGTGGCACGGTTTTAATTTTTCCTCAATAAAGAAATCGCGCCAATACGGCACACGACAAGAACTATCTCATTCCAAAGAACGTTTCTCCACGGTTGGCAGCAAGTCGCGTAGATCTCTTCTGGCGGCAGGCGTTTCTCACGAGGTGCTGCGCAGCCAGAACGCATCGAGGGGTTCCAATTCGCGAGGCTGCCAACGATCGCATAAGATGTAAATAATGTTTCGCCTCCGGTGCATTCCGCATGCATCGAAAATCCGAGAGAAACGAGCGTCGCGCGTATCCGTCGACCTCGGCGTTGTCAACGTCTGGGGCCGGCATCTCGGCACCGATACATCCATTTCCGCGGAATTTTCAACCGCATACCGGCTCGCAGGAATTCTCGCGACATATGTCTTCCAACGATTTCCCTCTTTCTTTATCTATCTTTTTTGGGACACCACATGAGCATCGTCGACTTACCCGGTCTTACTTTATTTTCCCATTCGACCATTTTTCTCCTTCATTCAACTCCGGCTCCAACCAGCAGCAGTTCCGGTTGTTTGAACAACGGCACGAATATTATTCCGCCGATTACGCGCGACTTTTCCGGTTGAAAAATCCACTCCGCGATTTTCGCTACGCAGCTGGCAGTTCATCAGCGGATCGCATTTCTTTTTTCTTTTTTTTTATTCGTATTTTCATTTTATTTTTTTAACAATATACATGGCATGTATATGTACATATGTATAAGCGTCAATATATATATATGTACATAACAGTCGTAAGTACATAACAGTCCACGGCGAACGACGTTTTCAAACTTTTCAGAGCGAAATATTCTCGCTTGCCGACGTTTCCATTCGGCGGTGCTTTCTTCAGCCCTTTTCTCGGACGAACTACGCGATCGAAATTTTCTTATGTCGCAATAGCGCGAGAGAACTTGGCAACGCGAAGCGTCACGTTTCGCGGAAGTACACAGAATGCAGGTCAATAACGATTTGCAAGAATACAGTTCTCTAAATAATCGTCAGGCTGTTTCACTCTTGTTGGAACTTTGATACATCTTTCTTTTATAACTTTATAGATATTATAATGCGAAACGTTTCAACTCTAATATTTACTATAACACTATTACATCTATAAAAGAAATAAAAAAAAAACAATTATTATATAATCATTATTTATAAGATAAAGTTGTATTAATTTTCATCGTTAATATAATTAATGATAAAGTCAAAAATTCATCTAATATCGAGATGTCGTTACTTAAAAGATGATGTTCACAACAAGAGTATCAAAGAGTCTTTTTACTTCGGCTCGGTGTAAGTGAAAATACTTTTAGCATACAGAAATAGCAAGAGGGATACGGATAATTCCGCCTTGCTAAACCTCGGCTTTTGCCAGGCAACATAGAAATGGAAGGGGTTAATTTGCGAGTTTTGTCGTATCCTCTCTCTCTCTTGAGGGCTCGCCAAGCTTATTACAGTAAATAGCTTAGGTGAGGGTGCTCCGTTTCAGCATCCCCTATTCAGTTTAGGCTTTTCATTTCGCAAAACTCCTCTCACTCTCTCCGTCTCGTCGGCACGACCTAGGGGTTACGATGCGTAGAATCGTTATCACTTTATCAAAGTCAGACGCGGCGTACGCGCGCGCCGACAGGAGAAAGCACCGTGCTTTCACCGGCTGTATCGTTTATTAACGACTTAACAGCCGCGCACAACGTATATTGCATTAAGGTACGAGACACCGCGCCGATTAAACTGTTGCTGTGCCGAGTAAAAAGATCGTTCCGCCGTGAACAACGCGAAGCGTCCGCCTCCGCGACATATTTAAAGCGCACACCGCGGTAATAGTATAGCGCCGCGATGAAATGTGGTTTGGAAATAAACCCTCTTAATCCCTGCTTCCTTCCAATAAATTCACGGGGCAAATTACCTTCAGTACCAACGGTATTCCCTAATTTAATGTCCTAACTTATCGTCCCTTGAGCAGATGTAGGTCAGTGTGGATCCCCAACCGCAAAAGCAAAAGAATGGAAATCAAATACTAATCAAATGTAAGCTGTTTAATTTAACGGATCTTAAATTAGAGCCGCGCTACTTTCTCTAGACGGCATAATTCTATAATACAGACAAGAGAAAAATTGAGTTAAGTTGAATGAAAGTAATATTATAACCGATATCAATTTAAGCGGTCACCAGTGCCGCTAATTCACATTTCATTTGAATCGGAATTTTCAGGCGTGACTTTTGAGGCCAGCAGGTCGAAAGGACAGTTCGATGCGACGCTTATCGAGCGATTCGCCGGAGTCAGCTGAAATCCACTTTAAAGCGCGAATGTACGCGCGTTCTCGATCGGCAGCTCGGAATGCTATCGAACTTATCTCTATCGCGGAAGATCGTGATTTGAATGGTAATCACCCGTCGCGGTACGTAAGCTACTAACGTCTTCCATGCAAATAGACATGACTTCGCTCGTCCACGCACGTATGCGTCCCCGCGAATCTGCACCCGACGTGCCGCTCTCTCACGATGCGCGAACACGAGAGATATATCCATTCCCAGACGAGATTGCATTTGCCGCAGTGCGGGGCAGAGGATATGTACGATCTATTCGACGGTGTACTTTCGAAGTTGCCTGCACGAGAGCCGTTCGCACAGTTCCTGACGTGCGATGGCTCCGTCGTCGTGTTTCTCCATTTAAAATTACCGGGATAAACGACTGGGCGCACGCATTCCTCCCTACCGTGCTTCCAAGTAATCGAAGTTTTTGCGCCCATCACTCGGCGGGTCATATTTTCCACAAAATGGCGATCGATGAGATAAACGGATCTCGATAAGACCGTTATGTATTAGCGGAAACTTTTAATAATCTTAATATGCGAATGTGTAACAGATACGACTCTCTTATATATATTTCTAGCTTTAATACCAACTACTTTATTCATAACAATTGCTCTTATATTCATTTTACATGCAACCCTTTTTCTATATTTCTGAGAATATCGTTACTAACGGAGAGACTCGAAATGGTCTTTTCAGATAGCATCGCGTACGGATCCTACGTTTTCGTGCCGGATAATTTCCAAGAGCGCACGACGCCGGAAATTGATCCCACTTTCGACACTACAATGTCAACCAACATCACTGGTTTGGCCGGAGAAACTGTTCAATTATCGTGCAAAGTGAAACATCTCGGAAACAGAACGGTGAGTACATTTACAATAAACATCTTTTCAGAATATTAAATTTTTATAATTAGTTATTACAAGTGCGTAAATAGGCAATTAAAGAAACAAAAACTAAAAAGAAAAAAAAAAAGAATTTATCATTGTAATCGCCGAATTGATACGATAAATTGCAAGTCATGTCTCCGCGCGTGTTAGAATTGCTTGCTTACCGCAGAACTACGTCTGCCGCGGAGTAAATCTTAAGCCTTACAAGTAGCAACTGAGATTTCGACACGGGATATTGGCAGGTGAACACAACCACCGACACACCGAGAACAACGCGAGATAGGCTTTCCCGAGTAATGCACGAGATTCGGTAGCGACGTGCGGAGGCGGGCAACATCGACAACATTTTCGAGATGCCGAGCGAACGAGGAACTGTATCTCTCTTTTCCCTCTCTCTTCCTCCCTCGGTCTGCGGAATTAACCAGAGAATTGCGGGATGGAAATGCAACAAACGTTGCAATGTTTAAATCGTAATTTGTAACCACAAAAAGATGAAGAAGCGGGATCCCCTCATGAATTACTCAGGAACGAACATCCAGCGCTATTGTCCCAGTTATGCAATTATCGCCCCTCTCGTAATACCGCGAACACCGAGAGATCCCGACGACTTCGACTTCCGTCGTTGATTAAGTTAAACCAGCTCTGTCGCCCGCGTCGACCCGTAAAGACAAATTTTTCTCCCTTCCGCGGTTAAATCAGTGTTTCGAGCAGGTCGGTAAATTAACTCGAGGGCGGACACGGCCCTCGGGGAATTTATCTTCCGTTCTAGGACCTTCGGTCGTCCTCGACCTCGAGTATTAACGGTTCGCGGCACTACTCGGGGATTATCGTAGCGGTTAAGTAGAAAAGGACGATCTTTGTCGGGTTACGTCTTCATGCAGACTTGGTTGAGAGAGGTCACAGTTTTAATCCCGAGACTCATTTCTATGCAAAGCTCCGTCGTCGCATTTATGTCAGCCGCAACTACGTGTGTACCGTCTAATATGTTTCGTTGATATTGCGCTCTCTCTCTCTCTCTCTCTCTCTCTCTCTCTCTCTCTCTCTCTCTCTCTCTTCTCTCTCTCTCTCTACTCTCTCTCTCTCTCTCTCTCTCTCTCTCTCTCTCTCTCTCTCTCTCTCATTTTCTCTTATGTGCGAGGGTGAATATCGTGAATTTTATTACGCGAAAAAAGTTTCCCCCGAGGCGGCGACCGGGTAAGCGAACCTTTTTTTTGCGAAAAAGTATATTAACTGCGACGCCGGCATATTCGAGCGACAATCGCATTAGACCAGTAACAGAGCTCTTGCAGTTTATATTTCCGATTATATTCAAGTGCAAATGCGCAGCGTGAGTTTTAACCCGAACTCGATCAACGCTGCGATGATTTATCGCGCGACGTATTACAGCACAGCGTGGAAAATGACATTACGCGCAGTTTCCATAAATATTAGTTAAAGTAACAAAGCTTTAACTGATTTTCCGTCTCTCTGTTTAAAAAGGATAGAGATTCACAGTTAACATTAATTAATGTTTATGAGAATGATTCCACGGAACGCAAGGCGATGTTTTGAATGCCGGTATTAAAAGACAAAGGCAGGCAGATTACTGAGTATTAAATGAATCATAAATTAGCATATAACGATATGAGTTTCACAAACGTAATTAACCAAAACTGAAATTATCTGCTTCTGTGATTCTTTTCGCTTGTGAAATAGACATAAATAAATATTTCAACATTTTATGAAAATGGGTCAGCGGCATAATTTTCCTATTACCTCCCATGATTTCAACCATTGGGAGATATTATAGTAAATGCATTTTAATGAATATGATCCTATTTCTCTCATGGAATCATAAACGAATCACCTATGCAGCCGACAAACACGCGCGCTACAGTTTGAAAACCAGCGTAATTTGTTAAATGATGATAGCAAAAACCATTGAAGTTATTAAAGCGACGGATTCGTCGTTACGACGCAATTCCCAACATGTGAGGGAATTACTCGGGTTACGGATGTTACGATGGTTCTGAATCGGTTGGATTCTGTTCTAATTAACGGCTTCGAGAACTTTCCAGCATCATCGGAACTCTGCGAATGCCACTTTACACCCTTGCTAAACCGTACAAAGTTCGTCTACATCATCGTTATTATTATTATTACCGTTATCAGACCGATAATAACATAATCTTATAGTGATCTACATTTCGTGTTCTGTGTTTAATATTTTGACACAAAATATTCAATAGTAAAATTTAATATATATATTTAATATATATTTATTAAACTTAATATATGTGTGTGTGTGTGCATTGTAATATCCATTGTAATATCCATTCATTTTTGCTTTGTAAATACAGCAACTCGCCAATTTGTTATGAAAGTAAATTTTAAATAATAAACGTTAATTAAACATTGCTCATATCATCATGAAAAAAAAATTTTAGAACGCAGCAAAAGGATTA